TGAAGGCTTTGGCTCCTGTTCTACTTTTAGAGACTATAGGAACCACAAGTAGCCCTGCATTCAGAGAACGCAGTGTTCTAGAGGGGTAATAGGGTACTAATGCATCTGTAATTAACGCTGACAGGGTTGTTCTGCACAATGAGTACTTTTCAATTAAATTTTTTGAATGCAGAACATTTTCTTGCAATGGAGAATTTTTACACTGGTTTAACTACTTCTACTTAAATGTGTGCAGGAGAAAGTACAGTGGCCGTGAAAAACACTAAACACCCTATCTAGAGCCAGTGTTTGGTTTGTCCGTTCTGGGCTACTGTAGAAACATGGTGGTGGCTCATTCTAATACCCGAACAATTATTATTTTTAGGTTTTTAAACACTTAGGTCAGCAACCTGTGACTCATTCGCCCCTCTCCAGTGGCTGCCGGTGGCTTTGACAAAAAATATATGGAAAATAATAACCTTATATATAATTTACCTTGTTTCAGTTTTCATTTTATCATTGTTGTAAGCCTTTAAGTAATTCTTAAATTCTCCAATTATAAAACAAAATGTAGCCTATACACAGAATAAAATATTTTTTTATGCATTTTGTTAACTAAAGTGCGTGTTGAAACTGAACTGGACACATAGTTGACAAAGGCTTATAGGTGTCCAAGTTAAAAAGTCTGAAAGCTGAGCTTGAACCAATCAGAAGGTCATTTTCACTCAAAACCTCAAAGGATATCGAAACCCTCGCAAACATTGATAAATTGCTGTATTTGAAACATGGAATTTTGTGCGTAATGGGAACACAAATAACACAAAATGTCAATTAAGACAACAGTTGTCTTAATTGTTATAGCTCTATAATTCCATATCAACAAAACATTTTATGATTGTAATAGAAATGCAAAGTTAACAAATAATCTCAGAGCCACATTGTGGTAAAACATGAGGCTAATGCATCCTCCTTTAGACCTGTTAGTAATGTTGATAGGCTAATTAACTTAATAGTACTTAATACTTAATTACTGAATAGGCTGTATTATAAGGCTCAAATATGTTTTGCGGCTCCAGACGGATTATTATTATCATTATTTGGCCAAAATGATCTTTTGATAGTAAAGGTTGCCGTCTCCTGTCCTAAAAGTTACACACTGGTCCTTTAAATCAATAAATCAATAAAGAAAAATAACCATCGGGAGTTGGTAAGGTCCCGTACATTTTGTGAAAGAAAAGTCCCAGTTTATGGCTTAACTGTTGGTGAGGAAAAGGTTTGCAGTTAAATCTTCAGGGCATTGTAAACATTTGCTATGGGCTGAAGCCTTTTCATACAGCAGCGGCTCTCCCCCACTGTGACCTCCCCCCACTGTGACCTCCCCCCTCTGTTCAACAACAGAACTCTAGGGGAGCAAACCAAAGCACGAGATAAGGTCATAACAGGTATAGTCACAGGTGGGGAACGGTTCTTGTGAGTCAACGCTCATGTGACCGATACGGGGCGTGGCTTACGACGTCAACACTGATTGACGTGGTGTGCACGACCAGGAAGCCAGCAGTGACATCACTTTCCAGAAATCCCCTCTAGTGCTGTTTAGAGTCAACGACGGAGAGCCACAGCGACGAGGAGGGAGACGGAACAACAAAGGAGTTTGCTGCTGTCTGAGATTCCCAAGTGTTTGAGCTGATTTTGCAACCAAGACATTAAAGGTGAGCCCGTCTCTACCGAACCGTTGACCCAAACTCTCCCTCACTGTTACATCCACGTCTCGTTTACCTAACAAGCTAACGTTACGGCTAGCTCTTCGCTTCCCTGCTGTGTCGGAACAAAGACGGTCCACTCGACTGAAACACATTAGTTTTTTATCATCCATTTACATTTCAGTCTGCTCTAATTCCGAATAAGTTAACTACCTAACGTTAGATTTGTGTGTCTGCTTCAACCAGCTAACAGCGGTGCGGTTGGTTAATGTTTAAAGCCTGTGCAGTGAGACACCTCAATGTTAGCTAACATGTAATGTCGTAACTTCACCAGTCATAAGACAGACATAACTACACTGTAGTTCCTCATTTAAATTGTACACGGTTGTTTGCCTCAATATTGGAAGATAAAGGAAACGCCTTGTCTATTATCATTAAGCTAACGCCAGTTAAGCCCTGACTAAACAAACGCAGTTCCTGTGTTGTCAATAATACAGTAGCTAGCTCAGGGTTTCTAGAGGACGGTTAACGGTATAATATCTGTCTGACCCATGTGATATAATGTGGCCTTTTTCATTTAATGGCTGCATTAGAAAGGGTGTGCAGCAGAGACCTCTGTGTCCTTTTTACCGTGTTGTCAGTCATCCTCTTCCTCCTCCTCCTCCTCCTCCCCACTCCCTATCTGTTTCCCAGCCGTGTCAATAGACCGGAATAAGCTGCCAAGAAGACCACATTCTTGTAAATAACCAATTCGTTCAGGCTGACTGAAGTTCCTTTCCAGTTTTCACCAAAGCTTTTTCTTTGCTAACCGAGTTGCTGAGTAGCAGCGAGCACAACAATGCCTCTCTCACCTGTTTGTTGTTCAGATACATTTCTATATAAGCAGGGTTACTTTGAAAATGTAATGTGATACAGTTACTAATGACCTGTTTAAAAGTGTAGTCTGTAACCTAAACCAAGTATCACAATATTAAAGTAATGTAACTTGATTACCTCAACGCCAAATAAGTAAATACAGAAACAAGAGAAAAGAATCAACAGAACAATGTAACCTTGGAAAACAAAATGGGAAATAGAATGACACAAATGTGTCCTCTGCTCAGTGTATTTAAAAAAGGAAAGAAAAACTGATTATTAGTATTTAAAAAGTGGAATTATGCTAAGTAATCATAACTGTAAGGTAATTACATTTTTTTTTCAGTAACTAATGGATTACAGTTTTACCTTCTTTTTTTTTTTTAAATCATGATTATGTAAATCAGTACATTGATCTGTTACTGCCCAAGCCTGGATATAACAAATGCGGCCGTCCATTATTCACAAAGTTTGAAAGTTGGAGTTGAAGTTTCCTAGAGTAGAGCTGCAACCATTAGTCACTTAATCGATTAGTTTTCAACTATTAAATGGGTTGCCAGCCATTTTGATAACCAATGACTCATCATTTTTAAAGGAATAATGTCCAAATTCTTTTATTTCAGCTTCTCAAATGTGAATATTCTTTGGTTTCTTTAGTCCTCTGTGACAATAAACTCTGAACATGGGGCAGGCCAGAACCCTGCATGGCAGCTCTGCCGCCACTGGCGTGTGAGCGTGTGTGAGTGTGTGAACGAGGGGCAGCATTGTGAAGAGCTTTGTCTGTTACGGTTGAAAACGCTGTATAAATGCACTTCATTTTCCTTTTACATTTCAAAGAACGTCACTTTCCACTTCTTTTGAGCTGCAGTTGCAAAAGTGACTCAAGGATTAGATTATGTCACCGCAAGAACTTCCCAAGAACACTCATTTTTTCCAGGCTTATTCCTTTATACCACCGGCCTGCTAGTCCGAATGAGGGAGGAATATAAAGCAAGCAAACAAACAGAGCTGTAAAGTAAACACTAGAAGGTATTAAAATGCTCCTCTGTCCACTGACACAATGATGCACTGTCTGTGAGGACTGAGAATAACAGACTGGAGTAGTGGCTGGAGTAGCTGGGAGAGTGAGACGTTGCAGTTGTGTGATTGTGGTAAAGATGATTAGTCTATTCAGGACTCAGTGCACTTTTGGCTTACTGCTGTCAACATGAATGTTTGACCACATCCTACCACTGTGTGCACATTACATATCAGTGTGGACTCTTATGTTTGTGATGTTTTGTACAGTATGGTGTATAAGCTTTTTTGGAAATGATATATGATAGGGTTTAACAGTATGAAGCACAGGGAATCTGTGTTTTTTACTTGACTTGAGTTGTCAAGTCCCTTTGATTTTACTGTTCCTTATTGAGTAAGGTCACATATCTTGTGATTGTGACACAGTTGTTACAGTGCAGGCAAGAAAATGGGAAAGAAATCAGTGATACTTATGTCTTTTTCACTTTTTTCATATAAAAGTAGAAGGATTGCAAAGATTAAAGTGAAATCACATCGCTATCGCACATTGATAATGTTTTCGCTTTAGGGACTCACAGATCCCACACATAGGATTGCTATCAATCCACATTAAATCCACATTAAATACAGTGTCTTTGTCATTGTCATTATAAATCAGGAGTAGAGTTGCAATAATGTTAAGTAGCAAGTCCAGTTTCTGAAATGTGAATATTATCTGTTTTTCTTTGTCTCGTGTGATAATAAGTTGAATGTCTTGGAGTTATTTGAAGATGCAAAGTTGTGTTTGCATTCTCACACTTTTCTGACATTTTATAGACCAAACTGTAAAACTACGACGGAGTACTATGGCCATACTAAGAGAAAAAAAAAATGTTTTGGTGGAAATTACGACAATAAAGTCATAATATTGCGAGAATAAAGTGGTAATATTACGAGAATAAAAACATAATATTATATACATCAGCCTGTTAACTGTACGGTACGACTGAGACAAACAGCGGCTGCTGGGCTCAGGCTGAGGCTGCTGTTTGGTTGAGCTGGTCACATCCGATCTTGATAACTCGCTAAAAATAAAACACTTTTTTCTCATTAAAATTAATTATTAAAAATTATTATTACATTATTCTTGTGTTATTACAACTTTATTCTCGTAACATTACGACTTTATTCTCGTTATTTCCCCCCCCCAAAATATTTTTTTCTCTTAGTCTGGCCCTAATAGTCTGTCGTAGTAAAACAAATAGTTATAGATGAATTGAAAATAGTGGAAGCTCTAACTGGAAGAGAGACCTGGATCAGTGCATACATACTTTATTTGACGGTTGACAGTAGAGACAGAAAACACGCTGGACGACTGATGCCATGCAGCAAAGGTCCCCAGCTTGAGTGGAACTGGAGACTGGTATTGGATGTGCCTTAGACAGTTAGCATTTTTAAACATTAACTCTAGATGTGATCAGCCACTGCCTTATATTGTTGTTCCAAATCACTATCAACAGACACCAGGGCATAGGGAGCACTGTGGGCATTATCAAGACAGATGAAAGAAAGAACTTACGTCAGACTCAAACTTATTTTATTATCCCTCATCTTTCCGCTGTGTGTGTCAACCTCTTCTGCTGTACTGCATAATCTCAGTCAGACCACTTCCTCATCAGGCTGCTGTTTTGTTTATGTGCTGCAGTAACAAGTTCTTCTTTGTTTAGTTTGGTCAGAGTAGACCACCGTTCTTATCAGAACAACATCCTGAGAGCCATTGAGCATTATCTGTGCTTTTTTTATTTTGTGCTTTCATGTTCTTGTCCCTCCACCCCCCACCCATCATGCGTTATGTTTTGTGGCAGCCTGTACGTCACACAAGTCACCCATATGTACAGACTGAAGTGCTTCAACAGGAAGCTTTATCATGAAAAGTGCAGTTGAGCGTAGACGAGAGTAGACGAACAAAACAGAAAGATGTTCCTTTCTTCACACATCCTATGCTACTTCTGCCTGCACGCTCTCTGTCCTCCTCTCACCTCGTACTGTGGTCCACATGTTCATCATTTACACCAGTCAGCACACACATATACCTTAAGCTCACCCTGCGTGACAACGAGATTAGATAAGAAGAAGTGGTGCCAGGGTGAAGCGATCAGCCGTGCCTCCAAAAAGTCATGATACGCATCAGAATAAGTGCACCTGTTTTATGGAAGTGCACTGGGTACTAAGATTATGTTCGCACTGTATCGCCTTATCTTAGATGTCATTATAAGTTATTATGTGTGAGATATCTGGCTAGCAACAATATCAAGAGGTCTAGAGAAATTCATTATATCATGATACATGTCGATAGTTGATTGGATTTGTACGTTTATCCTGGAAGAAATGGCTACCTGCCTAATGCACGTGAAGCAGGTGTTGTAGTGCGGGTAAAGTTGGGTAAATCAGTCATTTATTTATTAGATTAGGTAAACAGCAACAATAAATGGGATGTGGCTGAAAGCTGCATACAGCTAGAGTTGGCTTTAATTCTCACTGGCATCCTCAGCACTACCATCCCTTTCACACCATAAGCAGTCCTTTGATTCAGTGTTACTATAGAACATAACTTAATGGAGTTCAAAGGTAATAGATGATGTTATGGTCGTATGAGGTTATCCCAGTCAGTAGTCTGGTGAGGCTAATCTGGCCCTTATCTCGAGGTCCTCCGTTCACTGCTGTTTGTGTTTTCTCCTTAGGATGTCCCTGTATCCATCCCTCGAGGACCTGAAGGTCGACAAGGTCATCAAGGTAAGTGTGTTGGGGTGAATGGTCTTTAGACAGAGACATCTATGTGGACACGATTTGCTCAGTAATCTGTAGTAACCTGTGCCATCTTTTTAAACTAGATTACAAAAAGAGCTCATGCTTCCTGCTTGTGTGTGCAGTAGATATGTAGCAAATATAGCAAAATTGCAGGGGGGGTTAAAGATATAACCAGATTACTCAATTTATTTGGCGAAAAATTTTGTATTCTATGCGCAGCTTTCGGGTTGGCCACTAG